TGGCAAACCTCCGAGTGTATTTCTGGCAGTGTTGCCAAGCATGGGCTTTTCCTACCAAAACTGGTAGGTTTTTTTCTATTTGGTAGGTTGGTAGGCTAGATTGGATTTTGGTAGGTTCCGCGACAATAATAGTTATTTGCGAAAAATATAAAATATTTATGTATCTCCAGACATTTTTGCAACCAAGCCTTGAAGAATAACACCAAAACTAACCTATTGGTCTTTCTAAATCCATTCTTGGCTAATATCGAGTTATCCTTCTACAAACCCTACAAGGTCAGAATTCCTGAAAGGGACTGCTGTGAAGTGATAGTAACTATGATTGACGAAAGGTGCCAAGCATGGTATACCGACGGATCAAAAATGGATGATGAGAGTAATGGTGCAGGCGTATTTTGACCAAAATTCCCGAAAGTCTGGCCTTCGCAATCGAAGTCTGTGCAGAAGGACAAATGGGGCCAAATTAATTATTATTTCGGATAGTCAGGCAGGTTAAAGGCTTTAGACTCTTTTAAAAAGGCAGCAGGTTTGCGGACCACTTGGAAGCTCACAATAACGTAACGCTGTGGTGAGTTCCGGGACATGAAGGGCTTGAAGGCAACGAAAGCTGACAATCTCGCAAAGCATGGAGCCCAAATGCACTTGCATGGTCCCTAGCCTTTTGTGAGCTAGTGGAAGAAACCTCACAGCATATACTATGTGATTGCCCACGTATCATAAATAGCAGACTGATACACATTGGGAAACGATTGTCTTCTTCATCTAAAATTTTAAACATGGAGTGATTACAATTAGGGTTAAGCAATAGATAGATGTGTAAAGAGACAAACATTTGTGTAAGTCTGTACAGTAAAATGAATTGTTGGTGACAGGTAATAAGATCAACGGAAATAAGGTCAATTGACTTTATTTCCCTTCCTGGTGCGAAATAAAGTCAATTGACATTATTTCCTTTTTAAAAACGAAATAAAATCCACTAACATTATTTCTCTTTCAAACATTATATTTGCTTAGCTTCGCGGCGATCCGCGTTAGCGCGCCACACCGCGCGACCGGCGCGCACACCACATCACGCTACGCCGCGGCCCCCCTTCCCCGTATCCCGTCGTACTGTAACGCAGGTAGATTTATTTTTTGTATACGTTGAAATAAATTTTTTATATATTTTAAACATCAAGGGCTTATATTCAATAATACCCTCTATCTGCACACTTTTCACAAAGATGAGATTCTGATATAGACATCCACCTAAGCTTTAACTGCCATCAGTGATATTAATGTTACCTTATATAATGACAGGTAATAAGTACCAGATGGTTTTTAAAATCACAAATTAGTTTTTGTGCAAATTGCAGATAGAGGGTATTAATGAATTCAAGCCCTCGATATTGCACCTTTTTATATTTGTAAGATAATGGATGCCAACTTGGCTCAAACCATGCCATTTGTCCCTATTTTACTTCAAATGACACTTAATTTTTCAATTTGGCATAAAGTGCCAAAATGGCACTTTTGTAAAAAAAATAACATTTCAATTCAGTTTTTGAAATCCTTTGCTTGCACTTCTTTTTCTCAACTAAAATTTTCTAATTTATAAAGGCCATTCAACTGGTTTATCCTATTTTATCATTGCACTTTTGTTTTGAAAATGTGGCTTTATTTTATTGATAAATGTGAATGATTAAAAGGAATAACACCTTTTTTGGCACTTTTATTTTTCTCCTTGGCACATTTTGGCACTTTTTTATCCTCAATATGGCGCCTCATAACTAAGGATAGTTGGCAGCCCTGATTGGAAGATTTCTGCTGTGTTTTGGGGCAACAACTTGTCTGCAGTAAAAAGGCATATAATTTGTGTTTCAAAAGTGTGTGAAAACCAATCAATTAACTTATATGATCTCGGTTCCGATATTAAATAATCAATAATTGTTTATACCCGTATTTTGGCACATTGGCTCGTTGAATGTGCCATCTAATAAATAGTGTCGTCATTCTACTTAGCTGCTTTTAAATGATGTCGTCACAAATTGCTGGCGGAGACATGAATACAGTGTAAGAAAAGTCTTTTTCTATAATTGTTTCCTTATAGAAAGGTTGATTTCTTTTCCACCTTAGACATTCCAAATTCGTTCAAAATATGCTAATTTAAAACATAGAATTCTTTCAGTGTTCCTCCGGGGTTTTTGGACATGGACTGTTTCTTCAATTTAATAGTGTTCGCTTTATTTTTGTGGAAACGAAACATGTTTTGCAAGTTATGGATCTTTTCTACACTCTTTCTTCAAATATTTCTAGTATTCCAGCTGTGCGCAGGCGTTTAGTTTTTCACATTGTGTTTTTACATATTCGTAATTTAAATTTGTTTAATAAAATCAATTGGTGGTAGTTCATGATTGTGTGTGGATTAATATCACAACACTGAGGATTTGGCGATAACGTTTTTCATCTATTAAAAAACAACACTTACGGGGCAATGTTTATTGTAAGAACAAGATTTTTTCTATGAATCGACATACCTTAAGCATTGTTGACGCTATTTCCATTTGAATGAGGAAATAGCGTCAATGACTTTATTTCCAAATATTTGTTGACTTTATTTCGCTTTTGAAAAGGTAATAATGTCAATTGACTTTATTTCGCACCATGGTGTCGGTTTATATCAGAAAATACGATTTTGTGGATTTATGAGTTTTTGAATGACTGTTTTTTACTCAATTTCAAGGTTCGAATATGATCTGAAAATTGGATATATATATATATATGACCTTTAAAAAATATATAAAAATAGGCAATAATATTTCTCATAAAAACGAATAAAATTAGGGGGTAGGGTCTTGAAATTTCCAAAAAAAAAGCATTTTCGATGGCACCCTAATATGTACGTGTGCAAATTCGGAAGCAATGTATTTAATAATTCAGTAAAAAACTCTACGATAAACGAAAATATTAATTTCTGCCTGTTTCGCATGTACACTGAAACAGTAGCAGGTTTTGAATTACTAGCAAAAAAATGAAGGCCTTCTTGAAGTTTTATGTTTGTAGAATATTAAACACTTTGTGTGAAAAAATGCCTGTATGTACATATTTATGTATCTAACATTTCATACTTTAAAAACCTTTAATTAGGGAAATTCGTAACATTGTCTAATACTGCGCTGAAAAAAAAATCATTATATTTATCGCCTTGCTAGTATTCTAAACTGAAGTTCATTTTTTGAAGAAAACTTAGGTATACAAATTTGTACAATACTAACCACTTTGTAGAAGATTAACCACTTTGTGTGAAAAAGGGCCTTCATTCTATTTGCTAGTAATTCAATACCTGTTACTGTTTTGGCGAGTGTACATGCGAAAATGGCAGGAATTAAGATTTTCGTTTATCTAGAGCAGGGGTGCTCATCCAGTAGATCAATTGGTCCAGTTGCTCACAACAACATCACTGTGGCTCACTTCCGCTCATTTACAACAAACACAGAATTCGTGGAAGCACAACACGCGAAGGTTCACCGACAAAAATCGATGGACATTCAGTTGGCTTATGCGCCAAATAGACCACACAAATTTTTTCGCAAATACAAATTAGTACAAATAAGATTCTTATTCGATTCCTATTTGTAAAAGTTGGTATTTACGCAAATATTTGTGTGGTTTATTTTGTGCATTACAACAACATCACTGTTGCTCACTCACAATAAACACAGCACAACAAATGAAACATGCGTTGAATCAGCAAAAACTAATGGGACAAAAATCCATCGATATTCATTCACTGCTGCCTTGACATGGCTTGCATTTGCTCAGCTGTATGCATGTACCATTAATTTGACAACTTGAGGTTGATATTTTTTTGCATTGTTGTCGTTTGGCTCTGTAACTTAAACTTGTTGAACACCATTTGTTACTAATTAAACACGCAAAGTCACGATTTACCAATACAAGTTATTATTCATCCGCTTATCTGTGCACAAGAAGAAGTTAAAAAGAGTTTCCTCGCCTTTTATAGTAAATTGAAGGAATTTAAAGTACCGTTCAATGATTTTTCAACGAAACAAACAAATGTTACCACAAAACAAATGAATGACAAGAGAGTGAACAGGATTGCCAGACGATTACGAAATAATAGAAAATAAAATTAACTAAGAGGTTGCAGCTTCAACATCCTGCCCGGTCGAGTCGTTTGACTCGAAATCCTCAGGATCCAGTAGGAGGCACAGCTTCTGAACAGCTCGAGTCACACTTGTTGAATCTGCCGTAGCCATTGCCATTGTTTCAGTCGGTTGTTGGGAATATGTTGGATGTCTGGCTCAGGGACCGCTATCAGTGGAGCCCCAATCAGGAAATCAGCGGGTGACAGCGCGAGTTTATCTTCCGGGTCGTCGTACAGTGGCGTAATTGGACGTGAGTTCAGGCATGCTTCTATCCGGGTAGCCAAGGTCTGCAATTGACAATGCCACATGATTTGCGAGCCCACACAGCGGACCAAGTGATGCCTTGACGACTTAACGGCCGCCTCCCACAGCCCACCTTGATGCGGAGCACTGGGTGTAATGAAGTGCCAATTGGTACCCGAGCCCGCTAACAATCGCTGGTTGTTTTCACTATGCCATGCGGCGAGGTCTTCACGTAAGAGTCTGTTAGCACCAACAAAGGCTGTGCCATTATCACTGTATAGGTCGCGGCAGGGACCTCGGCGGCTGACGAAACGGGTGAAGGCGTCAAGGAAAGCTGGTGCGGATAGATCTTCCACGACTTCGATGTGCACGGCTTTGGTGACCATGCATACGAAGATGGCTAGGTACGTCTTGATGAACGTGCGTGAGCGCTTCGTGCCGACCCGCAGTGTAAAAGGGCCACAGTAGTCTACTCCAGACGAAACAAACGGTCTCGCAGGTATGATCCTCTGCCCGGGTAACGAAGCCATTTGCTGACTGAACACCTCCCCTTATGGCGGCGGCACACTACGCACTTGTGGATAAAACTCTTGACCACCTGCCTTGCATTCAGGATCCAAAACCGGCGACGGAGGGTATGTAGCATGAGCTGCGTTCCTCCATGTAGCTTGCCTCATGTGCGTGACGTATTAGCGGCTGCACGAAAGGAGTTGACTTCGGCAATATGATCGGGAATCGCTGGTCGTGCTCAAGTTCTGCCTTATGTATTCGCCCTTCGACCCGAAGGATGTGGTTTTCATCTAAAAGCGGATTCAATGAGAGTATCTTAGTACCGGAGGACAAACCTGAACTGGACTTCAACTGTCGAATGTCAGCAGCAAAGTGTTCCCCTTGCTCTTGACGGATTAGCGTGTATAGGGCATCATCTAGTTCCTGGGCACTGACCACAGGTTGACGCAAGTGTCGACGTCGACGCATGATGGCCACTGTACCCAGCAGGCGTTGAATTGAACTAAACCGGGTGGTCAACAACATAATGTGGCCATCTGGGCGACCGGTATTCAAAGGCTGCGCAAGGAGTACCATTGACTGACATATACTTCGCCTTTCGGCAAGGAGCTCGTCCGACTCGGTCTGGCTAAGAGGGATCTCGGGCTGGTTTGAGGGTGCGCTGCCTAGCACACCAGGACCATGCCACCAAAGCGGGTGAACTAAGAGTACTTCGGGTGTAATGCCTCTGCTGGAACAATCAGCAGGGTTCCGTGCTGAACGAACGTGGTACCATCTGTCTGGGGATGTCAGTTCCTGTATCCTACGAACCCGGTTGGATATGAACGGCTTAAGTGTTGTTGGATGCTTCTTTAACCAGCACAAAGCGATCGCCGAGTCCGACCACAAATAGTATGGAGCATCCATTAAGCCCAGCGAGTCCCTCACATTTTGAATAGTTTCAGCCAAGAGTAGTGCTGCCGACAGTTCCAGGCGGGGTATAGTAGCGCCCTTCAGAGGTGCCACCTTCGTGCGAGCTGTAAGAAGTGAGATGTGCGCAACATCGCCTACGTCCACAGTTTTCGTATAGGGGACGGCAGCATATGCTTGTGAGCTGGCATCGCAAAAGCTGTGTAACGTTGTCTGAACACGCTGTATCATGCCCATCCAACGGTCGATGCGGATCTTATTGAGCCCCTCTAGCTTGGAGCGGTACTTGAGCCATTCGTTGCACAGATCGTCAGGTAACGGCGAATCCCAAGATAAACCCGTATCCCACATCCTCTGGATGAACACCTTCCCAGTTCCAACGACAGGTGATAACTACCCAGCGGGATCAAAGAGACGCGCCACCTCGCTAAGTACTCGTCTCTTCGTGGGAGCCTCGGAGGATTGGTTTAAGTCGACTTGGAAAAATAGCTGATCCGTCACTGCGTCCCATCTTAAGCCTAATACGGAAGCCACACCAGAATGGAAAGTATAGCTGGAAAGAGACGCTTCATTAGATAAATAGCTCATCACCTGGCCATCGTTGGACTTCCATTTTCTTAGCGTAAATTTTCCCGCGGATAACGTTTCCAGCCAGTGCCACTGCATCGGACGCGCTCTCACAACTGGTGAGGAAATCATCTACGTAAAACGAGGTTAGAATCGCATCTCGAGCGACGTCCGCCTGCCGCCTATCCGGAACTGAACCATAATTATCATAAGCGCATTGCTGCAATGTGCGCACTGCGTTATATGGACTGCATGCCATGCCATATGTAATGGTCTTCAATCGATATACGCGAATTTCGTCGGCCGGGGACTCGCACCAAATAATCCTCTGATAGTCTCGATGCTCCGGCGTCACCAACACTTGCCTGAATATTTTCTCGATGTCGGCCGTTATCGCCACTCGAAAACGTCGGAAGCGAAGAAGTATGCTACCAAGCGAATCCTGAAGCGCTGGGCCCACCAGTTGAATATCGTTTAGGGAGACTCCCGTGCTGGTCGGGGCCGAAGCATTGAACACCACGCGGAATTTGGAGGTAACCGCATGATGAGGAATATAGTAGTAATTGTTATGGTGATACGGTGGTTCGACTAGCTCCATATGTCCGAGAGTTGCGTACTCCCGCATGAATGCCACATAGTTTTCTCTGAGGGCGGGATCTACTACCAAGCGGCGCTCTAGTCTACCAAATTGGCGCGCAGCAAGTGCGTACGAGTCACCAAGCTTTGGTGCATTTTGTCGTAGAGGTAGGTGCACAATGTAACGGCCGTCCGCAGTGCGGCCATGAGTAGCTTCGAAGATCTGGGCACAGTCGTCAACGTGTTGATTGTCGGCCGCCGCAATTTCATCCATCTCCCAAAACCTGTGGAGCAGTTCTTCTAAACGGACGTCGTCCTCACTCGGTAACGCGCTGAGTGCGAGCGATGATACGTTCGAAGTCAAAGACACTTCTGCCGGACCAAACACTACCCAACCAAAGCGGGTATGCTTGTCGACAGGTTCGTCTGATAGTCCACCGATGACTTCACCCTGTAAGACTCGCCCCCACATGTCCGCGCCGATGAGAACGTCGATAATGCCAGGCGTACCAAACCGATCGTCCGCTAACTGAAGCCCTCTCAAGTACAGTCACTGGTTCACGTCAATATTCACCGCCGGAATCTGAGAAGTAATGGACGGTAAAATCAAGGCCTCAATTTGCATCTCAAATCCAGTTTTCGTTGACCTCAAAGTGAGTGTAACGCTGCCCTTCACCTGTGTATTGACGGCAGCCCCTACCCCTTCTACCAGCAGGTCACATTTCCGTCGGTATAACTGCAAGGAGTTTCCTAGGCGATCCGTCACGAAGCTAACCTGCGATCCAGGATCGCATAGGACACGAGCCACACGCTGAACCGATGCTTCTCCAAAGGCATATGCACGCGCTATTGCTAGGAGGGTGATCGGCTGATATCTGTCCGCGTGGGCTCTCGCAGGTGCTGCTAGTCATGCAGCTGAAGTTGTTGGCGCCTTACCAGGTGCAAAATTCTATACGGGTGTCGTGGACGTGGATTCAGGCGCAGCTATGTTGACGAACCTCTCGCGGCCTAAGATAGTTTTGTGCTTACGGCCACAATTCCGACAACTTCCCGATGGACACTGTCTGGACGAATGGCCAACACGTAGGCAGTTATAACACAACCTTAAACTCTTAACTGCTTCATAACGTTGTTCAATGTTCATGGCTGACAGCGCTGAACACTTAGAAATTCGATGCGGAGCACCACAATGCGCACACTGTGCCCGCTCAGCGCTAGCCACATGCGCCTTCACCGATCGTTGCTGCCGAGAGGCCACTAGAATGGCGGATGGTTCAGGCGATAGACTATGAGCACGCCTTTCCAAAAACCTCAGCAAATCATCCAGTAGTGGAATATCGGTGGTGGTGCACTTCATACACCAGTCGCGCTTGGTTACAGCCGGAAGCTTGGACAAAACAATAGGCACAGCTAATGCATCCCATTGACTTACAGGGACCCGCAATGCTCGCAGCGACTCTTGCACTGTGTCAACAATGGCCAGCAATGCTTGCGATGACTCCTGGGTAGCTACTTGTAGGTTGAGAAAACGCCACACGTGTATTTCTGCCAGCTGTTTCTTATTGTTGTAACGCTCTTTAAGAGCCTTCCATGCTTCTTGATAGCCACCCGAGTATATCCCTCCAATTAATGGCACAGTGGAGGCGTTAACTGCTGGCGAAGTTTAACCAACTGGAATGCTTCCGGGTACGCAGAGTTATGGACGAGCGTTTCAAACGCATCCTTGAACGCCAACCATTTGCACATATCCCCGTCAAATGGGGGAATAGCCAACGGGTCAAGTTTCAGATCAACCGAGCAGCCATCCAAAGTCGTGGTAGGAGCGTTGCGCGCACCTTCACTGGCGTTGGAATCTCCCGTTGACGTCGCAATCAGGCGGTTGAGTGTGTTACATGCGTCACCGTAAAGCTCCTCCACACTTTCCCCTAGCGAATCATGCGTAACCATTTCTGAGGGTGCAGCTTCTACAACAACATGGTTATGGTTATCAACGAATCGCCCAAAATGTGTCTCCATCGACTTCAGCTCTTGTTGAAGTTGGAATACATCCCGACCATCATCGCCACCATCTCTTACACGGGCATGTATGCGTTTTATTGCTTTCACAGCAGATGCGCGCAAGTTAAGTTCCGCCATGCCACAAAAACACAAAAAATAAATTTATTTGTCCTCACAGGAGGCACCAAAATGTTACTAACTAAACACGCAAAGTCACGATTTACCAATACAATTTATTATTCATCCGCTTATCTGTGCACAAAAAGAAGTTAAAAAGAGTTTCCTCGCCTTGTATAGTAAATTGAAGGAATTTAAAGTACCGTACAATAATTTTTCAACGAAACAAACAAATGTAACCACAAAACAGAAATGAATGACAAGAGAGTGAACAGGATTGTCAGACGATTACGAAATAACAGAAAATAAAGTTAACTAAGAGGTTGCGGCTTCAACACCATTGATCTAGAGTTCTTTACTGAATTATTAAATACATATATTGCTTGAGAATTTGTACACGTACAATTTAGGGTGCCCATCGAAAATGCTTTTTTTGGAAATTTTAAGACCCTACCCCCTAATTTTATTCGTTTTTATGATAAATATTATTGCCTATTTTTATATATTTTTTAAAAGTCGTTTAGAAGTCGCGACCTGTTGATTTAGAAACCTTGGAAGTTATGTATATTTTCTGGTAGGTCTTTTCGAGTAAAACCAGAATCGAAATATGAAATTTGCCAAGCCCCCCACGATCTTGATTTACCGTTAAAAAATCGGGTTTTCGTAATTTTGCGTACTTATACGCCTGTAACTGAGTTCATTATGAACCGAAATTCGGTTTATAACCTGGTTTAAAAAGACCTTGGACCTTTAGAACGATTTATATGTAAATAAAGAAACCTTAAGATATCTGAGTGTATTTACCCAGCAAACACATTTTTTTTTTACTTTTTTTCAACTTTGGTGAGGTTTTTACGCACTATTTTATAAGAAAACCGTACTAGTCATATATTGGTTTCAAAATCTGCCCTGAAATGATTATGAAACTAAATTTTATAACGAGTAGAACGAGTGTTTATTTTCAAAAATCGGATGAAAGTTTACTGTGTTATTAAACTTTTTATGAAAACAAAATTTTTGCAAAAATATTATTTTTGACTATACTACTCAAAAATATTTTCTTGACCTACAACAACTCCGCCCAGATTGATTAGTCTAGCGGTAAACCCAGGAAGCATGCAGCCTGGATTGTTTGTGTCCATAAGGACAGGGGCGTTAGCAGGGTGGGGTTCAGTGGGCATGCGAAGAGATGCTGCGAGTCATGGGGCGTCTCTCCGCATGCCGGGCATTCATTTGGCACATCTGCGTTTATTCAGCTCAGGTATGAGTTCAACCTGCTGCAGTAGCCAGAGCGAACTTAGGCTATTGTGGTCCGAGTCTCCCGAGGCAGACGAAGCTCTGTCTCGTCAACGTCTGGTGGTTGTGTACCCAGAACGGCATTCACAGATCGAGAGTCTATATAACTCGAGACTGACTCTCTGTGAATTCCGTTCAAGGCCATTCTGTAAGCTGACCGTTAATTTTGAGCACAAGTCATCAATTCCATTCCCAGGCGCCATTATCGAACAATCGAAAGCATAACAGACAATCGAGACTCTCGCTGGTGGTTGAGGGAGTTTAGAGATGTAAGGGTACAATTATTTGCTTAAAATAAACTAAAAAGTAATTTTAAGCAAAAACACAATCGACTTCATTTCTCATTATCGAAATCGGTTAACGCGGTAACATACATAAAAAAAATATTCCGACGAATTGATACCTTCTCCTTTTTTGGAAGTCGGTTAATAAAGCTCGTCATCGAAAAATCGCTTCTCATAAAAATACAATCGCCGTTCGGAGTCGGCGTAATACTGTAGGTCCCTCCGCTTTGTGTGACAACATCAAGGCGCACGCCACAAATTGGAGGAGAAGCTCGGCCAAACACTAACATATGTGTAAACGCGAATCTATTATTATTATTAATTCCAAGACAAGACTTTAAAAAATCTTAGTATTTAAATAATTTTAAACCAAATTGCTTAGAACTTCGGCGTTTGGAAACGTGATTGTCGCTTGTAGATGGAACGCTTCCATCAAAGTTATGTTTGTGTGTGGTCTTGTAATGTCTTTTAGTGTTTCCTAATATATACCCTTTAAGTTGGTTTTTGCAAAAA